ATCCTTGTCTTGTTCCTGGTTTTAGCGTGAAGGTTTTCAGTTTTTGACCATTTAGTATGAAGTTGGCTGTTGGTTTTTCATAGATAGCCTTTATTGGGTTGAGATAAAGACCAGCTCTTCCAATTTTCTGTAGGGTTTTTATCTTGAATGGGGTTGAATTTTGTTGAATCCTTTTTCTGCATCTATTGAGATGATCATATAGTTTTTGTCCTTGGCTCTGTTAATATAGTGTATTACATTTATTGATTTATGTATCTTGAACCATCCTTGCATCCCTGGGATAAATCTGACTTGGTCAGGGTGTATGGTCTTCTTGATGACCCTCTGTATTCTGTTTGCCAGTATCTTATTGAGGATTGTTGCATCTATGTTCATTAGGGAGATTGGCCTGTGGTTCTCTTTTTTGGTTGGGACTTTCTTTGCTTTTGGAATCAAAGTAACACTTCCAGGAATTAATTTGGAAGTATTGGTTCCCTTTCAAATTCATTGAAGAGTTTAAAGAATAGTGGCAATAGTTCTTCTCTAAATGTCTTGTAGAATTCAGCAGTGAAGCCATCAGGACCTGGGTTTTTTTTGTTGGTAAATTTTTAATTATATTTTCAATTTCACTGATTTTATTTGGAGTGTTCAGAATTTTTAAATCTTCTTTGGTCAATTTTGGTAATTCATATGTATCTGGGAATCTGTCCATTTCTTCCATGTTTTCCATTTTATTAGAGTATAGGTTCTCGAAGTTGGTTGTGATGATCCTCTGGATTTCTGCTGGATCTGTTGTGACTTCACCTTTTTCCTTCCTAATTGCATGGATTTGAGCCTTTTCTGTCCTTTTTTTTATGATAAGGTTGGGTAAGGGTCTATTGATTTTATCTATTCTTTTGAAAAACCAACTCCTCGATTTGTTGATTTTTTAATATCATTCTCTCAGTCTCCATTGCATTGATTTCTGCTCTGATCTTTATAATTTCCTCCTTGGTACAAGCTTTGGGTTTGTCTTGCTCTTCTTTTTCTAGGAGCTTAAGGTTTAGCATTAGGTTGTTTATTTGAGCTCACTCTGTTTTCCTAGTATGGGCATTCACTGCTACAAATTTCCCTCATAGAACTGCTTTCATTGTGTCCCATAGATTCCTATATGTTGTATTGACGTTACCATTTAATTGTAGAAACTGTCTAATTTCTTTTTTAATTTCCTCTGTGACCCATTGGTTGTTCAGGAGAGTGTTATTCAGTTTTCATGTGTTTGTGGAATTCTTGCAATTTCTTATGCTATTGATTTCCAGTTTAACTGCATTATGGTCTGATAATATACACAGGATAACTTTAATTCCTTTGCATTTACTTAAATATGTTCTATGAGCTAGCATGTGGCCTATTTTGGAGAATGACCCATGTG